TTTTTTTTTTTTTTTTTTTTTCCCCTGACCCCTTGACATTGGCCTTATTTTTGTAAAAGATAGGAAAGAAATCTTCTGTTGTGTTTGTTTGTAAACTGAGGATGCAATCACTTCCCTACCTCGTATATTCTATTCCAGAAACTCTCTGGTCACCAGGGTCATCAGAAGCAGATATTTCTCAAGCTCTCTCTCTTGTTCCCAAGTTTTCCATCGGAAGTTTCCTCTTGGCATCACTGTCATTCGACACTAAAGGGACAATCATCCCATGAGCAAAAGCCTTGTGCATGTGAAAGAGAATAACTGGGAATGCCTGGCGGTGTAAAACCACTTTTAAAAATTTAATATTAAAACACTAAGCCAATATGTGTTCTGCAGAAACCAGCCAGTCCTAAGCACACTACGGTGGCCAAGCCATAATAATTATTCCTGGCTGAACAGCTGCAGTCTTCCTCCCACAGAAATAAAAATGGTAGGAAATATGCCATGGAGCCCAGATGTGTGTATTTGTAGAACTGAAAACTTGATAGAGGCTGCAATGATGCAAGGTATGTGAATGTTATCAGGCCATTTTATGAAAAGACAAACTGAGGGCAAAGGTTTATGACTTGTCAAAAGTAACACATGGCAGAGCAAGGAGTTCTGGGCTCTACTCCTGCTTTACAAGCCTCTAAAGAGTACACTAGTGCCTTGCTCTTGCTATGTGGTTCAGATACGATACACTATAAACTTCCATCCTTTTTTCGGTGTATTGCTGCTCTGACTGCCCATTAGTAACTGGGGTTAGTTTTACTGGACTGATTTCTGCTCTAGAGCTACAAGCGATTAACTATTAATACTAACGCACAGCTTTCTGTATGAGCTGATACTGAGTGAGATTGAACATATGGGAAATTATACTACTGCCTTGGAGTTCAACATGCCCTTCCCTTGGTGTATGATTTCAACCACCTCATGGTGTTCCTTCACAGCAGGAGGCTGCCATGTGGCAGAATTACTGTGGATAACACATGTATATACACTTGCAGGGGTCACTCACCACTGTAAATTGTTTATGTGATATATAGCACTGTATTCATAAAGGGGAGAATGAAATGTGTTTGAATTTATACATTTTTTTCTCCAGAGGGATACAAAACTCTTTCCATATTTCTGATGGACTAAAAATTTTCCCCAGCATACTGACTCTCACAAATGCTGCACGCAAGAAGCATTTTGAATCTGCAGAGATAGTTTAAGTAAGTGAGAATGAACTTTGGCCAGGATAATCTTATCAGTGTATTGATCTTGGCCCTACTTATCATTGCTCTTCAGCAAAAAGCTCCGGTGGTACAGACACTGCTTTTGCTGTGCATTGAAATCGAGCATCGGTGTTAATAGAAGAGTCAGACCATGGCTTCTTGGGTTTGCCTGGGAAATATTTCCTTCATGTGAAGCCTAATGCAAGAGTGAAAGAGGGTGAAAGGGTTCATGTTATCATTTTTTTTTAAAAAAAGGGTACTGTTGTTCAGTGAGGGACCAGCAGAAAAGACAGGAATTCCTTACCACACAGATTCCAGATCCATCAAGGCATCTGTTTGCATTACCATTACAGTTGCAAGGAGAGCATTTTCCTGAGCTGGTACGGTAGAAACCTTCTTGACATCCCTGCAATGAAACAAATAAAATTAAAGTGTTTCCTATGCATTTGTATTCAGAGAGTTCGGTTTGGCTGAGAGGCAGGGGAAAGCAGGAATTACAACCGTGGGGTCTCCCCGGAGCAGACTGCACGACCCCACCAGGGCAGACCACACGCACGCTGCTGAAGTCCAGTCTGTTCTTCCACTCCCTGCCCTGCGCCTGCCTTTTTGCCTTACAGTCTTTAAGCTGTCGGCATCCCTGCCTGTGTCCTGGCGCCGGCCAGCACTGGGTGTGTAAATTCTTGTTCTCCACTGAGGAACTTCTACCTCATCATGCCAAGGTGGTGAGATGGGCCAGGGTGTCCTCAGGAGCAACCTCTGTTGCTCAGGCAGCACCTGCTCACCCCGCGCAGTCTCCTCAATCACCTGCGGTATGCCAGATCCGTGCAGACTCAATAATTTTTGGATCCTAAATCTTGTACCCTTGCTAACTCTTGCAATGCTGTTGCAGAGCTGATGTGAAGGCCCTAGCATGTCATTTAGATCTCCAGAAATTATTTACCACACCCTGGTTTCTGCTAGCATTTACAAACACTATCCCTGAGGTGGCTTTCAGAGATTGAGATATGCCAGGCTCTCCTGGAATATTTTTTGTGGCTGCCTCTACAGCACTTTGTGTGTCCTGTGGCTCTCGAGGTCACTTACCCTTGCAAAAAGTGGGAAACGTGGGAAGTTCAAGTGAATCAGAAGGATATGACCCTTCTTGCATTTGTATGAGCTATGAGGCTTATTATTATATTGTATGGATCTAGTAAGGTTTAGATTTCCTTTGATTCTCCCTCTTCCTCATTGTCCTAGGTTGCCCTGAAATAAAGGATGATTTCTTTTCTGCACTGAGCCAACCACTGCTTCTCACGCCCACTGTAAGCTACGACATGAAGAGCAGGTCTGCAGTGTCAGATGCAGCACCGCGCAGCGGTACCTCCACTAGCTGCAAAATCGAGCCTGTGAGCGGTGCTGCTAATTAGCCCTGCCGTGGCGGTGGCTAATTAACCCTGGCACAGTGCGATGGCCGTGCTGCTTCTGGGACCTGGGCTTGTACGTCTGCACGGTGCTGCAGTTATAGCTGTGGAGCACGGGGTAGCAAGAGCCAGCAAGCCCGAGATTCATCTGCCCGTTAGCTTCCATTCTCAAGGGTGGGTAGATGCTTCTATCCAGCCAGATAAGCTGCTTGTTTAGAAAATAATGTATCTTACGGGATGACTAACAACAAGCTTTAAAAATGAGGTTTACAAATGAATCATTAATCCAATCTTATCCCAGAGAGCTCAGAGAAGCGGAGATGAACATAAATGGAAATCTCGTTTGCCTTTACCATTCTTACGCATAATATTTTATCTGGTTTGCTTTGGAAACACTTTCTTAGATAATAGCTCCTAGGAGGAAAAGCCTTCATACCATGGCCACTTTGGGACAGCAGAAATACCATCTATTTGTGCTGCTTGTTTCTGTCAGTTGTTTAGTCTTAACCCAGAGCTGTAGGACTGGCTCCCACCAGACTAAGGGTTACAGCTGAATGATTACGCCACACACTGTGGAAGGGAGACGGTTAGTTTCTAAATTGAAAACAGATCCTTATCCCAGTGTCTGTCTTGGCAATCTCTCTCTCCGCCCATACAGATCTAAGGCATGTTATATTCTCTGATGCCCCTCAACTGGTGGGTGGTCCTAGCTGGCCCATTAGTGTCTATACGAAAGCTTTCTTGGTTTTGCAGGTCTAAGCAGAATTATTTTTTACTTACGATGGTGAACATGGACAATGGAAATGTATGAGTGTGTGTAAAGGTGTCTATGCAAATCCTTCAGTCAGCCGTAAAGATCATCCCCTTTATACTTCAGCCCCGAGCATGCCTGCGTTGCAGCCCTGTGTGAGTTTCCATCTGGTCCACTCACCCGCAGTAACAGGTTCAGTGCGGTTCAGTGCAACGTCACTGGTTCCAGCTGTACGGGCAGGGTTGTACGGTCTTTGCTGAAGTCCACTGGGAACCAGTTTACCCCCTATTCTGAGCAGATGCACTTCTCAGTTCCTCAAGACATCTGCCTCAGTTTTGGGTGCCTCTGCTATTCTCGCTGTCTGAGCCCGTCTTGAAAACGAGATGCAGGGTCCTAAGTCACCTGAGTATTTTTTGGCACCATTTGTTCCCCACACTATTCAATTTGTCACAAAAACATGGAAGTTGCAGATGCTCACTATTTTAACAGAATATTTTAAGCCATCGATTGCATCAATTTAAACCAGAAATGAGGTATTGACAATCAATGCTATGAAGGAAGTGGGAATGAGGGGAAAATGGGATCCAGATTGTTTCCTTCGGGTCCAGAAGTTTTCTCAGGCATTCTCAATGATTCCAATATATTTTTGTTGCTCCTTGCCCTACTAGTGATAATGGAGTGATTGGTTAGTTGTTCCAGGGCGTGAGCCAACATCGTATCTATAAAAAGAAGTGTCAGAGTGTTTAGCTAATTGAGGGATTCAAATGGCCGAATGTTCTGGGAGCACGAAATGATTGCACACAAAGCACAAACAGGTCTGGAACAAAATGGAAATACCCTCCCTGACAAATCCTTATGTAGCAATTGAGTGAGGAACATTTCCATCCACTGTCTGTTTCTGGATGGTGAAGACAATTAGTAGGCCAAAATGCTGGGTCTGCACTAGCAATTATGTCTTCACGATTATTAGATTCTTTTTTCTTTGCCTGAGGGACAATGTTTGTTCCAGTTCAAGTTGAGAAGTCCAATCTAATGTGGATCTCGCTGAGCTCTCGAAAATCTTTTACACCCATGGTGCATTTATTTTCCCCCTCCTTGCATCTGGATTTAATTATTACGTTTCTTAAAAACAAGAACCAGCTGCAGTGCTGAGAGCGCTGTGGAGACTGTAGTCACACTCTGTGTCTTCAGACCCTTCTGCTGGTATGGGCGCACGATGGGACTGACAGTGGAAGACAATCCACATACACAGGGTATGAGTTTACTCCCGTATTATAGTCAAGCAGTTCCACCGACTTCACTGCAGCTGCTCCTGATCTGCGCCTGCATAACTGAGGGCAGAATCAGGTCCCCGTTCCGTCCCTGCTGCCAGCGAGCGGAGCGGTGCGGCCGAGCCGGGGTGTTTGCTGTGCCCCTGCCTCTTCTGGCTTGCTTCTCCCAAAAGAGGAGCGCTGTGCTGGTAACATGCACACTGTTCTCTGTGGTTGCATCTGCACCAGTCGCCTGAAGAAAGGCAAGGCATGGTTTCAGGCACCGGTTTATGATCACCCATACTGACCGACAGTTCATTTTCTGCCTTGATTTTGCTCTTTGACAGATTGTGATTTTCCTGAAAACGTCCAGGCACAGCTCAGGGCATGGCATCTGTTAGGACGTGCTCCCGCAAGGCAGTCTGTATGGGACTGCTTTTTTCCTGGGCAAACATGGAGAGAGCTGCAGCACGAGGATGTGAGCTGTCTTACGCTACTTGACTAGGAGGTCCCACACTGCTTTATTCAGTAATTCAGATGTAGCCATTGACTCTCTCATCTAATGATAAGAAAACATGGCATGTTTCTTTAGTTAGTACGAGAACTTGTGACTTTCTGTGAATATGCAAACACACAAAGGGTCTCTTTCTTCCACAATAAAAGGGTCCCTTGGATCCACACCAGTGTTTGTTGTTTCCAGAGTTTTCTCTTGAGTGCTGGGGTACATGAAGGGATGTGGATTCAGGGCCTACATTAAGACATTTGAGCCTTTGTTATATTCATTATACTCATGCCTGCCAGTCTTGGATCAGGAATCTCATTACATTTGATCCAAAACAAACCCAGAAGAAAAAGATGGCGCTTGCCTCCAGGACCATTGTAAAAAAGGAGACAGCCGGTGCACTTGGGGAACTGAATCTGAGGAACAGCACTCGAAGTAACAGTCGCGGCACATCAGCTGCCAAGTTGCTGCTAAGTTTAGTGTCCGCTGAGACTTGGCTGTAGCTGGCCAGCAGTATTATGCTCTTTGCTGCTAGAGACCGAGTCAAAAGATGTGCTTCCTTCCAGGTCTGAGAAGGAACCTCAGTGGGCTGCACAGATGTTCAGACATGAAGGCAAAGATGAAACATTACAGTATTAACTTAGTATACTGATTCTCACTTCAAAGGTCTGCTCAGGATAGTAAAAGTGAGTGCAGTCTGGGCACGGTTGAATCCTATAAACTCATGGGCTTGTGGTGAAATGAAAATTAACTTAATTTACCTAATATCCCAAATCTATCTGCAAAAATATGAAGAAGTTCTATCCTGTGTCACAAACACCTGTATTTTGTGTAGAAGGGTGATTTTTGATGCCAAGAAGCAAAAATGCACATCTTTTTAGTTTCTGGCAGCCCCCACATATTACTTCTTCATATGCCAAGAGGCGAGATAAATGACTGTAACATAATTTATGGTATGCTGTCCAAGTCATAGTAACTGCTCCTGATCATGCTCTTTCAGCCTTCAGTGGAAGAGAATTAAATTAATTCTCATTGCCTGTCATCTGGTGATGGTAAGAACATATATAGATAGTTACCTCTGGCTGAGCTGACATACCACAGCTTGTTCACCTGCTTTATCTTGATGGTGTAGCAAGTTCACTGGACATATAGTTTCAATTTTAAAAGATTTTTTGTGCATTTGAGTTTCTATTTTTTCTGCGGTTTGACCTGTTCTGTAAAGGTGGTAAAAATGTTGTCAGAAGATATATACTTAAGAGAGCCTTAGTTTGAGAACTGTGAAGTCTGGTGTGACAGGCTATCTCCCAATCGAAATATCTACGGAGAATGGTGACACTTACTGTGAATTATTTGCATAATAATATTTATCACTTGACATATTAATCAACAGTTTCAGAAGTGTTGGACCCTCAGAAGTCTTCACTGTCTCTTATGGAGTGAAAGAAAAGAAGAAAAGAAAACAAACTCTACTTGAACATTATCAAGCTTCGCCTCAGAGCCCAG